ACACTCAGCTCCTATACACACTTGGCCCCAGTGGCTTGAAAAACATACAGGGCACGTGTGTGTGCACGCCCCAAATCTCAACAGGATGGGGAAATGGAGAAGGGAGTGACCATGTACCATTGGGGGTGCTCTCTCCCCCTCTCTGTCTCTCATGGGCACATGTGTGCTCTGATAATTTAAACAAAAAGAGAGAGACCTGTTTAAAGACAGAGGGCTGCAAGCAGGAAGTGGGCAGGAAGAGAGGAGTGAAGAGGATGCAGGGTGAGAATGAGAGAACTGGTCGACCACCGTGAGGCAGCAGGGGGGTAGCTCTTGCTCTTACTTAACGAGGGGACAGTAGGGAGGCCCTTGAGGCCACTGTGGTCAGAGATGATCGGGCTGAGGGGATGGCCTTTGCTCTCCATTTGACAACCCAGCACCCTTTTCCAGGACCACAATGAGGGTAGCTTAGCTGAGGCAAGCTGCAGAGAGACCAAGAGATGGGTGAGGGGTGCTGGATAAGGTTTCCTCAAGCTGTCTGATAAAGGCCTAAAGCGTTCGACACCCCAGAACACAGAGACCACACCCAACCTAAGGGGCACAGAGAGTCCACTTCCTAGGCTCTCCATGTGGACTCCACAGTGCCTCTGGGAACCTGCGTCCCCATTCAGTCTGCACTGCCCCCTCTGCCCATGCTCGACAATAGATTTGGCATGATCTAGGTCAGTGCCTCTGTCCCCAAAGCACCTTTACCCCCATCTGCGTTGTCCTAGACACAGGGGGGCAGGTCACAAACCTGTCCATTCTACTGGATAGAGGACCAGGGTTCAAGAATATTCTTTATTTATTTATTTATTTATTTTATTTAGGTTTTTGCCTAGGGCACCTGCACTCACCAGACAATGACAGAGAGAGACAGTGAGAAATCACCCCCCGGGGATATGGTGGCCATGCCTCAATCCCTTCTCCATTCTCCTCTTGGGATTTGGGGCACACACACATGCCCAGTGTGATCCCCAAGTCACTAGGTCTGGGATTCAAACCACAGTTGTCCCAGCGAGAATCTAGCACCTTAACAACCACACTACCTGCTGGCCCCAGTGTCTAAGGATATTCTGAATCCAGTGAGTCAGGCAGGAGCAAGTCTAGGATCCACTGCTGTTCACACCTGGGTTCTTTCCACCCAATGCAGCCAAGCTCCAGAGGAGCAAGCAGGCAAATTTTCAGGGGAAAAACACGCTGTGTATGCTGAGCAATGGGGCCGTAGCCGGCGCTGTGTCTGGTGCCTAGCGCCGCCTCCCTTCCTGTTCCCGCAGGTCCGTGACAGCCAGCTTGGCTCCCGGAGCTCAGGGCCTCTCACTCTCACATTAAGTTGTGCTCATTCACGGTGAAGCATACATTGAGTACCTACTGTGTGCAGGAGAAATAGGAATCAGACTTGGTCTCTCCCAGCAGGAGTCACGGACTAGCAGGGCGGGAGGTGGGAGAAACAGAACTTGATGGCCCGGCAACTTCTCACCCCCAGCTCCAGCCCTGCTCCTGAGTGTGAGAAACACTGGGCACACCCTCCCTGCCCAGAGCTCTTGTCAGATTTTTTTGAAAGACAGAGACAGGGCCCGGCAGCTCGCTTGGTGGTTAAAGGCACTGGACTCCCACATGGTTGACTGCTGTTCAAGTCCTGGGCCTGGCAGCTTGCTTTCTCACTTTCCCTCTACCTCTGTCTTCCTCTGGTCAAATTAAATAATAATAACAAATAAATAAAATAATTCTTTTAAAAAAATAAAAAGACAGAGATGGTTGGTGGGAAGGACAGCTCACAACTTTGCTCTGATTTCGGTGGTAGTTTTGTTTAAAGGGTGACGAGCACTAGCCTAAGTCCCCATTCCTTGATTCAAGTTTCTGCAAATACAAGTGGGATACTCCGGTATGCCGTGGAAGTCCAAGTTTCAGTAGTCTGGACATCTATGGCTTCACGGTAGACCGCACAGCTCAGCAGACCTGACACACGCACCTGGTGGCCAGAGCACACCAGAGGCAGGGAGCCAAGGATGCTCTGGGAGAGCCGAGTCCCACCCGCAGCAAGCCCCCTCTGTTCTGTTGGAGGGTGCGTCACACGGTGGATTTCTCTCCTCTTGCAGCAAGGTTTCGACAGGAACATGCTGGGAACCTTAGCCGGGGCCAACAGCCTCAGGAACTTCACCTCCCGGTTCTAAGAAGAGGCTGTCTAAGCAAGTTCAGCTTGCAGGTAAGAACCGGCCCACACCAGGGCAAGGGGGCCCCGGGGACCACAGCAGCCATCTCAGGCGATCTCAGAGAGAGGGGCTGGCCTGTGCTCTCTTTTGGCCAGGCAGAGAGCCCAGCGTGGGCCCACACAAGGGCCGTGTGGACTGCCTGGCAGGGCACAGGTCACCCTACCACAGGACGCTGGGGATGCATAATGCCCTGGTGGTGTCAGAAGGGCCCGAGCACCTGGGCAGGGCTGCCAGGCATGATGTTGAGGATGCTCACTGCCCTGTTCAGGTGGTGCCCTCCCACGGGCTGCAGCGAGCGGTGCAGTGTGCCACCCTGGCCTTGGTCAGCCCAGTTCGCCTTCCCATGTGGTTCATAGTCCACTTTTCAGTCCCTGCACATACCTAGTGTAGGCAAATTTATTTCCAGCTGTTAATCCTAAAGACTGAAACCTCAGAGCCAGTCCTCTGACCAAGGCTGGCAACCTCCACACTGGACAGAACCAGCAGAGGTGCATGCCAGGATGCCCACTCCTGGCCTAGCCCCAGCCTTGGAGTCGGGTCTGGGAAAATGCATTTTTTAAAATTATTTGTTTTATTTATTCATTCATTTATTTTTTAGTTTGAGCAGAGAGAGACAGGGGGTGATAATGAGAGAGAGAGAGAGGAAGTGAGAAAGCAAGCCACCAGATTCAGGACTTGAACCCTGGTCGGCCATGTGGGAGTGTCCAGCGCCTTAACCACCACGCCACCTGCTGGTCCCTGGAAAATGCATTTTTAAACAAGCATTTGAAGGGTCTCTGGTGCAAGTAAGCCACAATCCTGAGCTAGAGATACAAACCAGGTATCATCAGATCCAGGGAAATGGACCCGTCTGCAGATAGCCAGGAATGAGGACAGGGCCTCCTGAGCAGGAGGGGACTTCAAGGCCCAGGCTGCCTGCCAGTGCCCCTGCCCACTCTTGACACCTGAGGGGGTCCTTCTGGGGAGAGGGGGCTGTAAATACAGTCCCTACAGAGATTAAATACGGCACCAGACACGTTCTCCTGAAGATGGGCTTCAACAAGACAAAAAGAGGAGATTAGCTTCAGCAGATTCTTTTTTTTTTTTTTTCGGAGAGGCTTTTACTATAGGGTACATGCCGCTCGCCAGACAGACAGAGAGACAGAAATCACCCCCCCAGGGGGATGGCCATGCCCCAATCCCTTCTCCTCCATTCTCCTCTCGGGGTTTTGGGCGCGCACGCACACACACCCGGCGTGAGTTTAAGTCACCAGGTCCGGGACTTGAACCGCGGTCGACTACGAGGGAGTCCAGCGACATAGCCATTACGCCAACTGCTAGTCCCTTCAGCAGATTCTTAATGGGCACAGTCTCGATGCAGGGGGGCAGCAGTTGGCGAGTGGGCAAAGCTGACACATTCTAAGTCAGCAGGAGCGACCTCTCCATGTGTCAGGGGTGACCCAGACTCTGGTTTCAGGTCAGAGTACTCCTGAGAATCGGGGGGGGGGGGGCAGCTTGACCAAACTTCCTGGGGTGACTCATTGCACCACAAACACCAACCCGAGGGCTTCTCTTTTCCAGAAGACACGACCCAGCTGAGAAGACCTCGAGCCTTGCTGGATGGGTTTCTCTGTCCATCCTGTGCAGTATTTGGAAGAGTTCAAGTGCAACTGAGAGCGAACCCAAAAACTGTGGATGATGGAAACATTTTTAGATTCTTTTTTTTTGTTTTTTCCTCGTGGGAACAGGCAGGCGATGGGGGTTGGGGGTTGGGGAGACCTTTCTTGAGTTAAAGGGGCTTACGTCTGACGTCAATACTTCTTTCTCTGAGAAATGGTATATATATATGTGTATAATGTATGTGTGTGTGCATTTGCATGTGCGTGTGCGTGTGTGTGTGCACCAGTGTCTGTGAGCATAACCACAGACTGCAGAAGCCAGGCAGCTGTCCCATGGCAGCCCGTGAGGTGCTGAGAAGGTGGTGAGAACTGCCCCATTTCCTGCTTACGGTCAAGGACCACATGTGCTTTTCGGCCAACTGCTCGTGGTTTCTGGAATGTGTCCTGCTAGGGCGGGGGGTCCTCACAGACTCATCCCATGGAGGATTCCTGCAGGCTTCCTGCCCGCCATCTTCCAGGCAATGGGGTGTGAAGAGAGACTGGGCTGGAGCTAACCTCCCCCCAAGAGACGGCTTGGCGGGAAGGGAGGTGTATCTCCTGGGAAAATCTAGCGAGTCTGAAAAATGCAGCCCTCCCACAGTGCCCCGGGACTGGGGTGGGCAGGGCGTGGGGCTCTGGAAGACAGGGGACGATCTTGCTTGCTTGGATACAGGAGGTCTGCCCCGGGGGTAGGAGCCGGAGCTCTGGCACTCACCGTTCTCTGGGGCTTGCCGTGTACTCAGAGAGCGCACTCAGCTGCAAAGCCTCTGCTCTCGGGATTTATGATCTATTGGGTCATCAGAAAAGTCATGACGTATTTTTTCTATGTTTTTCTATCCAAAAAGGTGTCATGGTTTTCCTAATGACCCACTTCTTGCTGAAGGAGAAACAAGGCAAAATGGTGCTCCAAGCCGAGAGCGGCTCAGGGATGGCTGCTTGGACTTCTATGCCCAGCAGAGGAGAGCAGGCCTGGGCTGGGCATGTGCTGCCAGCTGCCAGCGGAATGTGGGCGGGGTAGGGGAAGGACTGGCAGTTGGCCAGGAAGATGCTTCACCTCCCGCCTGCTGACAGTGGTGGGAGGGAGTGCGTTGGGTCCCAGGAGACTTGCAGGAAGGCATTTGGACAAGCAGGAAAGGAACGTGTCCTGTCAGGGCACCGACAGGCCACATCCCAGCCAGCGGCCGTCCCCACCTGCCCCAGAACCCCCCAGCTGTCTTGTTTTCCTGCTCTTTGTGAAACTCACAGGACATGTGATAAAGATGCCTGTAGGGGGCACCAGTCACACACCCAAGACCGTTCTGTCACCCCTGATGCAGACAGAGGTAGGAGGGAACTTGGCGTCCCCAGGCTTCCCTCACGCCAACCCATCTCCACACTAAGGTGGTTGCTGTCAGGTGGGAGTGAACCGCCTGGTCTTGGCCCTCTTCTAGAAGAGTGCAAGATGCCCTCACTTCTCCTGCTCCCTCCCTTCTCCCCCACCCAGTCCAGGCCCACTCCTCACCCCAGGAATCAGAATCAAGCACTCAGATGTGCTGAGGGATGTGACACTGAGGCCAGGGCAGGCCCAGCCTGAATAACACTGCCCTTCAAGGTCACCGGCCAGGCGTGCCCTGGTGCTGCAGGTCTCTGAGGTTCCCCTCATTTCGCTCATGGTGGCAGGCCAGCTTCAGGCTCAGCCTTCCCTCTCAGGTACCAGGTGGGCGCTGGTCCCTCCGCTGGGCTGCTGTAGGCTGTAGGACCCAGAGACATTCATTTCTCAGTCTAAGCACTTGGGACATGTCAGTGAACTACACAGACCCCACCCCGTCCTCAGCAAGTTTGCTGGAGGAAAGAAAGAGGAGACGTGGGGTCCTTGTCTGGCAGGATCCCCCAGGCTGAGAGGAGGGTACACCCCAGTCAGGGTGAGAGGGAAATAGCCAGCCACAGTGAGAGCGTTAGAAACAGCTTGTGAGTTCGCTCTTCCTGCCTCCAAATCCCCACCATGTGACACGGCTACTGGGAAATTATAGCTGATGGTAAAGAAATTAAATTTTACATGCGACATGAATGTATTTAAGCCCAGGGAAGTGCCCCTGCCCCAGCACTGCCTGGAGCTCCTGCGGCCCCTCCGCTCATTCCCTCCGCTCCCACCTGAGAAGGAAGAGCCAAGGGCCCCAGCCCTCTGCCACCTTGAGCAGGGGGCAGCTTTTCAGACCTCGGTTTGCTGAGGAGAGTGAGGCCAGGCCCAACTTTGGTGACCTCTCTTGTGCCCTCTCATGCTAATCGAATAGGCCCCAGTCCCACCTCCACACTAAGGTGGAGGTCGTTGGGTGGGAACAAACCGCCTGGTCTGGGCCCTTCTCTGGAAGACTGTAAGATGCTGCTCAGACAGGCCTCTGACTCGTGCCAAAAGGCAAAACAGAGGGGCTTGGGTGTATTTCAAAGGAAGGGAGCCAAGGCCTGAGGACGTCTCCTTCTCAGTCCATGCTGACCCCACACCACTAGCGTCCACACCCAAGACAAGAAGGTCCACTGGGGCCAGATGAGGACAGGCACACCATGTCCACACCCTGACCCAGGCTCTCCTGTACTTGACAAATCAGTCATTGCTATGAGAGGCCTCCCCAGTGGGTGCCAGACCAGCAGCCAGACCCACTCTTCAGGGACCCAAGAGGCAGGGGTGTTTTCTTGGCTTGTCCACCTCAGGCCATCTGAGAGGCTGAGGGTAGGAGGACCAAGACTAGGGTGAGAGGAGGGGCAGGGCGGGAAGCCTGAGGGATGCTCAAGGAGCATCTGGTCGACCACCCTCCCCTGGCTGTGTCTGCCTAGGCGCCGTATGCTGGCCAGCCCAGTTTTCCTGTGTGATACGCTATGTATGTATTTGCTTTTTTTGGAAACAGAGGAAATCAATAAATTGCTAGTGTTTCTTTGAACTCTTTCAAGCAGTGGATTATTTGGGGTGCTGTTGAGGACTAAAGGGGCTACGCACATCCTTCCCAGATCTTCCCTTGTGGACCCTGCACCAGGCCGAGATTGAGAACACTGCCTGAGAGCAGAGCCCAGCACCGATCAGGCAGCGGAACATTCTGCGTGCATCCATCTGAGCCTCTCCAGGGCTCCGTGATGCTAGGATTGCCCTCCTACTGTCACAGACAAGCTAAGTGAGGCTTAGGGAGGGGGCGAGTACCTAATGTCTCACAGCCTGTCAATGGAAAAGCGACCCCAATGCAAACCCATCCAGTCAGGCATTTGAGGGAGAGACCCTCGAGGAGGACGCCCCAGGAGCTCCTGTTTACTGAACACCTCCACCGCACGGGCTCCAGATCAGGTGCTAGAGGTTCAGACACAAAGGATGTGGTAGGCCCCAGCCTCAAGAGCTCATGAGGGGCAAGACTGCTATGAAACTTCAAAGACACATGAAGTAAATTTCCAGTGATAGTGACGGTGTGAACATAGTGCTGTGGGCCATCGGTGGGAGCAGGGCCTGTGGGTGGAGGGAAAGGCTGGAGGCAAGCTTTTCCCAGCCTGGCAGGGTGGTGGCAGGCAAGGCCAGGGCCTGATGTTCTGGATCATCCCACCAGGGAGGCCAGGGAGGAGGAACCATCCCACAGCCCAGGAGAGGAAGATGGCTGGTCTACGGCTCAAACTGCTACACACACTAAGCCCACAGCCTCCAAAGATGTTTTAAGACTTGGAACCCATGTATTGGCTCCAAACTGAAACTCAGCACACGTGCAACAAAGGGTGCAAGCAGGGTGGGCGCAAGCTCTCGGATCGCCCAAACTAAACAGCGCCCAGATCCAGCTATCAGCATTACCAGCACCCGAAGCCTCCCTGTTCTCTTCCCGTTACTCTCCCCTCCCTGATGGTGACCGCCGCCCTGGCTTCTAACATCACCTATAAGTGCACATGTTTCTGAAATTTATATGAAGAAAGTCAGTGTTACGTCCTTTATTTTATTTTTTTTGGGGGGGTTGCCTTAGGGCATGTACACTCTCCAGAGACAGACAGTGAGAGGTAAAGTTAGAAATTACCCCTTAAGGGTGTTGGCCATGCCACAATCCCTTCTCCTCCATTCTCCTGGGACTTGGGGTACACACCCATGCACATACATGCACCTGGAATGATTTTCAAACCACCAGGTCCAGGACTCAAACTGTGGTCAGCCATGTGGGAACCCAGTGCCTTAACCACTATGCCACCTGCTAGCCCCCATTAAGTCCTTTTCTGATTCCGGCTTATTGAGTTCGGCAGTAAGATTCACTGGTTGTTATTGCACGTCACGCTCACTGCTGTTAGTGAGTAACCTGGCATGTAACTTTACCACAATGCAAACTGGCAATATTATATGGCAATCACTGTTAGGCTAGTATTTGCAATATTGACAAACAATTTATGGATTACTTGTCTTACTTCCTCCAAATTCCCAGCAAGTGATGTGATTTTTGAGAAATTATAGCTAACGGTAAGGAAATTAAATTTTATGTGGGACATGAGTGCATTTCAGAAGCAGAAGCACCAAAGAACCACAAAGGGTCTTCATTCAGCTGTCCCAGGCCAAGAAGGTGGACCCTCTGGTCCCTCAGGGAACAGCCTGATGACAGTGGGGGAGTCCAGGACAGCCAGAAGCTCAGACTGAGGCCAAGAAAAGGCTGGTGTCCTAGAGGCTGTTTCCCAGACCCCCGTGCCCAGGCTGCCGGCACTATCTGCCCTGAGCTTAGATATCATTTCCTGTTTCCCCCGGGCCCAGTCCCCACCTAGAGAGGAAGCTTCCCTGCCTATCTCTTTCCAGAACACAGCACATCCTGCACAGTTGGAGAAAAACCCCAACAGAAGTTGTTTATTACAAGAGTTTTTATTTAGGGACCAGTAGATGACATAATGGTTACATCGCTGCACTCCAACATGGCTGATCCTGAAGGGCCGGAGTGACTCCATTTTGTTAATCCCACCTTGCTGAGAATCGGTGCCATTTCAAGGAGGCGAGCTGATCACGTAGGAGGTCATAAGACCATCACCCCCCCAGGGCTGGCCAATGATAAGAAACAGAAAATACCAGAGATCCAAAGTAACTTTCTTGCCAATCAGTAAAAGACAATTATGTTTCTTAAAATCTATTGTCAATGTGTAGCCGCCTGAGTGCACTCCTCAGCACCCCTCAACCTCCCCCACTAACAGCCAAATAAAAACCCAGCCCAACTAACACCGGGGCTCTCAACTCTGACTCGCTGTGCTGGTAAGATGGGGAGTCCTGGCTCGAGCCCGAATAAAAGCGACCCTCGTGTGTTTACATCGGAATCTGGTATTTAAAAAAAAAAAAAAACTTGCTGATCTCAGCAACCTTCCTTTTCCGATCACCACCCTAAAAACTGTAAACCCACCTATAACCTACAAGCCCCCCCCTCAACATGTTCCACCATTTGGGGCCAGGCCAATAGAAAACTTTTCACTAAATTCCAAGCTCTGTCTCTTGCTCTCAAAATCAAATAAAAAGAACCCCTGTACCTGATCACCCCGAGAGAAAGGCATGTTTTACCTCCTCTCTGGGCCTAGGTCACTCATATTCTGCTTGGAATAAACTGCATTAATATTAATTATTCATTTTTTTAGAGTCGGTTCTTTTCTGACGACACTGTCGAGC